CTTGTTACTAGAAGCGATGCACTTGTTCCTAGTAGCTTCTTGTTACTTGTCTTTTGTTTTTGGGGTCGATTCTCCAAGATTCCAACAGCGAACGAGTTCCGCGCCCCCCCGAGCCCCACGTTCCGAGTCCCACGGAGTCCGCCCGAGTCCGTGCAAGAGTCTCGCCAGTGCAAAGGCAGCGGAAGTTCTCCACCGTCTTGGGGCAAACTTTTGCAAACCTGACGGCTTCTTGTTGCGTTCGTAGTAAGAATGCTCCTATAGTAGCGATGCCAGGAGCCCCTAGTAGCGTCCTTGCTCCTAGTAGATCCTAGTAGTATGGCCAGGAGCACCTAGTAGCTTCTTGTTACTAGTAGCGATGGCCTCCATCTAGAAGCGATGGTTTGCACCTAGTAGCTTCTTGCTACTGTGGTGATGGGGCAAAAAACACCAGGATTCTGGTCACCCACCCACCCAATGTTGATCTCTTAGGCGGTCCAAATGTGCCTGGTGCTACACACCAATACCTGATCTTATGCTGTATTGCCACTAACTTCGTTTAATGCGTGACTGTATGGCACCAGGCCAGTATCTGGATCTTCCCTGTTTGATGTCAGCCCGTTTCAGTTCTCTTTTGGCAGGGCCCTGCAAACATCTCCTGTACAGGATGCAGGCTGAATTGGGGACAATCGAAAATTCCACGGCAACGGCTCCAATCCAAGCAGCAACTCACACTCCACGCGTCCCACTCGTAGGTGATTCACAGAGATATCGAACCAAACACGAGGATTCTCTGGACCTGGGGGGGCAATCTGACGGAGCCCTGGGTCAAACCCAACGGATGGAGGAACCAGTAGCGATGCCAGGAGCTACTATATGTATATATATATATAATATATAATAGCATCCTCATTCCTATGTGCGATGTACCCAGTCTTCATGATGGTTCCAGGAGCATCTGGAGCTGGGAAAGTGGTGGCTTCCTTCTTGCACTCCTCGAGATGTGCAGAGTGAGTACCATCCTCCAAGGTTTTCAGTCTGCGATCCTTACTGTTTGGAGGGAAACAAAAGAGCGAGATAGGCTAGGTCTCAACTTCACCTGACTTTGCATCCTGAATCCTGCCTTGTGATGAAAGGCTCATCCATGTTAATCCATCGCCCTTCTGATTTCAGGCAAAGTAGCTCGACAGATTCTCCGGCAAGAACTTAGGCCTTTTCACCTGCCATCTTGATCTCAAACACTCCCTCACTCTAACTCACTCGTGCATGCACTCATACAGCATGGCCCAGCTTAATATCTTCCCGTTGGATTCAATGTGATTGTTTCCGCCGCACCATGAAACTTAATGTTGCGAAAGCAGGGATTTGCATATCAAGAAACAAAGAAACCATTGATTATGTACACTGCACCGGATATCTCAAGCTATCCAACAAGAACGCATCTCAGCATCATTTAGAATATACATTTAGCATCATTTAGCAGACATTATGCTGTATACACAATTGATATTGACGGCCTGCATGGTGGGCCATGCCGCTACTTACAATTGGCCCGCACACCTTCTCATCGTCCAGGTGCTCCAGGTAAAGCACGTACCCTGCAGCAGCGCCTGTGCCTGCACAGCTCTCTGACTCTGCTGTGAGGCCAAAACGGAGCGAGGGCGGGTTACAGGCCAAGAGAGAAGTGACTCGACGAGGCAGTCTGGCTTTTTGGATCGGCCAAGGAGACCGCAGCGAGTCCTGTTGAAACCGCGGTGTCGTGAAGCTGGCTAGTGAGACGAAGATCAACAATTAGCAGTTTGGAGTTTGGAACGGCTGCAATCCGATAACCCACTTCATGTCGAAAAGAAAACAGGATGATGCAAAACTATCTCAACCAGCTTCTGCGGTGATGTGTTGGCAAACAATTGAATGGCTTTAAAATCTGGCGCATAAGCACATGGGGCCTTATGTGAAACTCTAGGCAATCGAGACAGCGGAGCCCAACATTTATCATGTACAAGAACCACCAATAAACACCAAGACCTCAACAGCCGCAGCTCTAGTGGCCTAGAATGGGGTCTACTCGCGGCTTGTCCGCCATCCCTATCATGCACTTTCCCGCTGAATCTGCACCCAGTGTGCAACAGCGTCAAGGAGAATGCTGCTTTTTGTAGTTCGGAAATCCTTTCTTAGTTTCTCTCCAATTACTTCTACACGCTCAGTGCGGAAGTTGGTGGCCTGCAAGAAGCGCGACGCTTGGATCTGATAGCGCGGAAGAAACGGCTGATGTGAGACAACTAAGAGTCTGCCTGGGACTGGTGATGCTTGGAGCCACGTCTTGAGAGTCTCCATGAAGCCCGCTCGTGGGTTCTCGGTTCGCACTACGGAAGCTGCCAACCATTTGGTTGCCATGCACGAGTTGGAGCGGCTTGCAAGGTGCTCTTGCAATCTTTTCGCCAGGTCAGCTTCCGTTGCACAACCATGGACCTCTAACTGCAAAGTGCTGCAGTCTGCTTCGGGATCAGAAGCCAACATGGCCACATGTTCAGGCAGAACGCCGCTCTTGAAGCACCTCTCTAAAAACAAGCACCTTCTCTCCATGTTTGGTAGGGTTGCTCCAGCAATGAGTGCGTAAGTCCAAATCCCTGCCGGGACTTTCTCCTGAGTGAAGCCCATGGCTTGACAAAGCTGCATGAAACTTCCCGCAAGTTTTGGCCCTCGCGGAAGCTTGGACCGGATTCCGGATCTGTGTCTCCATTCACTGATGGTTGCCTCTTCAAGCTCTGAGCGTGACATTCTTGCAACATCCTGACAGGACGCCGATGGATGTTGCTGACAATAGATTTCCAAGCACCTTCTCAGCAAATCTTCTTCTGCCTTGGACATGACCCCAAGTAGATCACAAGTGTCGACGTTTTCATCCACCTTTTGAAGGGCTCGGCGGGTATGCTTGCGCATACCAGCCCCCACAACCCGACCACTCTCTAGCAAGGTGGCCGCAACTCGACCGCTGTGGACGCCAGTGGCAGCAAGTCGGAAGTCTTCATCCTCCTCCACCCAATCATTCTCGCCTTTGATTGACTCAGGTGGAGCTAAGTGTTCTTCTGTCGCAGTGTCATCTGTGACAGTCCCTCGGAAAAAAAGATGGCTGAGATGTACGAGTCCTACTCCGAGTTTGCCCTGTGACAGAAGAAGCTGACTCCGCTTCACCCGAAGGGTTCATCGGTGGGTGTAGCACAATGCAGGCAGGATGCAGACCTGAAAGTTGACAACACGAAAGAGAAGCATCCACAACAACCGACACATCACCGCAAACTGATTGGAAAGTATTCTGAATGGTGGCCCAGCTACCTGAGACAAGTCTGGGTGTCAAGGTTGGTTGTAGCAACTCCTCCACTTGCCGGGTAGCCCAGATGAAGCGGCAAGCAGCTTCCACATGAAGGCTTCGGGTATCCCTGACCACTTCTTGCTGTGCCCTGTCAAGGATGCCGGCCAAGACCTGAGAAACATCTCCATGAAGCCCACGTGGAGACCGAGTGACTTCCAGGTGTTCTCGAGTGACTTCCAGGAGTCGCAGAATATCTTTGGCTTTCTCCCGGACCTTGGTCATGATTTCCCACAGTTCTCTGGCATCCTCCCCATCCTCCAGTTCTTCGGGAAGTCCATTGAGCACTTCCCGAACCCCTCCGCCGATATCGACGAAAGCGGTCTGGATTCTTTGATATCTTTCCAGCACCAGCTTGTCACACATTTGCTTGAGCGACCTGGCAAAACATGGCTTGCACATGCTTGCACATATTTACGTACCAGCAAGCGACAGCCGTTCAACAAAAACACGGTGGAACACTGGGCATTCGCTTGTCTGCTTATCACTTGGTTGATCAAAGCACAGCATGGTTTTTCCACCCACAATCTGGGCAAAAGCTCGGAGCACCTGCAAACCCTGCTGAGCTGACTTAGCTGCTGAAGCGGCAGCTTGTCAACCATGTGGGCAGGCCAAAGGACTTCCGTCGGAAGATCAGCCGAAGAAGCCATGGCAGAATGATATGACAGAATTGCTGATTCAAGCATGTTAGGGCCTAGAGCATTCAAGCCCTCATCACTACACGTGGCAAAATAGTAAAGATCTTCAAACAGGAAGAAGGTTCGTAGATTTAGCTTGCAACAAACATCTCTGATGAAGCCACTGGTGTCAAAGAGCGTGTTCTCAAGCTGTTGCTGGCAAGGCATGACAAGAAAGCATGACGAGATGCCTCAACGTTTGGATTGTGCCAAGGTCTTGTGGGTTTGTGGCAAGGTCTTGACGGTACTGAGGGTGTCACCGGTGTCGCCGCAAAATTGGCTCAAGTATCAGACGCATCAGACGCATCAGAGTCGCTATACCTTGGTCTTCTAAATCTTTGACTCTTAGATCATAGATCCTGAGTTGCTCTTGATTCTGGAAGCGCCGTTTGGAATCTCTCAGGCGGAAGAAGCTATGCTTCCAATGGAATGTCACATGGTGCATGCGGGCAGCGGTGGTCTATCTGCCCCTCCCCCTCGCTGGTGCATCTGCCTGCGAAGATGGCCAGGGGTAATGCCAGCGACTGCACGCCACCAGCAGTTCTACTGGCCTCGAGGGACATTTGCATTGGTTGGGTGCTGTGTTGTGATTAGGTGCTGTGTTCTTCAAGTTTGGTGATTGGTTGAGTGCAGTGTTCTTGAAATACAGGATTGCCCTGGCTTCCCTTTAGAATGGCAAACCCGACAGGGATAAACCTGGGTTCGAAACCAACGCCCTGATTCATTTGATTCTTTTATTTTTTTGCAGTTCACATGACACACATAATATATCATAATATGGTAGTATTTCGCACTATGCAAATCCATAAATTTCAGGCTTGTTGGCTCTCGTTCTCTGGCCTATTACCTCAACTGCACAAAGGACGAACTCCGTCTAACAGTCTAACATTCACCAAGGCGTGCTCGATGGCAGTATCTCCCCCCTGTTAGAACACTTGTTTGTTGATCTTGTTGTTCGGCATGACTTAAAACCTCCTAGACTGTAGCTCCATGACAAATCACCACACAAGTCATAGAGTCCATACATGACGACCGCAGGAGAGCGGTCGACTTGCAGGCAACACGTTTTTCATGAAAAATCTAGGAACACAATGATTAGTGCGAGCGTGAGCTATCCTGCATCCTAGGCAGGAGCGTCCAGTAGCTAGGAGCTTAAGTATAAGTAGGGGGGGCAAAGCGGGAACAAAATAAGAAAAGGACCAACGAAAAAGAGACATAAAACAAAGAAAACACATAAAACAACCAATTTGATGCGAAGCATGTCAGAACGCCGTCACTGCCGGTGTGGCTTTTGTCGCACCCGTCCCCGTCTGCCACCTCGCTGGCCTTCCGCACGCTGAGACCTCGGTTTGCGGAGCGTGTTCGAGCCTGATCCATGCATAACTCTCTGGTCTGTGTGGACGGACTGCGTGAGACATCGACATGCTGCTGCGTGAGCCCTAAGTAGACCCCAGTGCTTTGGTTGATGCAAGAGCCTTCAATTTGGTCACTGAATGGATTGACAATTTGCCAAACTTGCGAACAATCTTGAGATTGCTTTGCCGAAGAGCCATGGCCAACAGGCCATCGACGACAAGCCCGCCATGCTCGAATCATCGAGCCATTGGCATCCACAGCGGTGGATGAGGACCACCTGGTCCTGGATCTTCTGCAAGATCTTTCCGGAATTCCTACCTGTTGAATCGTTTCTATTAGGTTGGAGGCCATCGCTCTTAGGTTGGAGGCCATGGCTATGTGTTAAGACAGGATTTTGCTTGTCCATTCAACGCCTTCCGGCTTTCACGCCTGGCCAAACTTGTTGAGGTTAAAGAAGTGAACTTACATGGTCTGTGCCTCCATGTGCTTTGGTGCTTGCGCTTCATGAAGGCTAAAGCTGATTCTCATGGAATTGACAGGGACTATCTGTGCACGATTCAAGGATTGCTGTGTGGTTTGGGCTGGCATTGCCAATGTACAGTAGCTCAATTTCTCAGCTGAAATGGAGCCGGAGCGGCCGAGCTCGCAAACAACAACCACCGGTGTAAGGGCAAGTCTTCAAGAGTCGAACAGGATAAACCGTGACGCACCGAGACATCGGGGACCATATCGTCGTGCGCACCACCGACGTGGTCGTGGGTGAGTCGTGGTCGTCAAGACCCTTCAAACCTAGCATAATAACATATAATAACTGCACAGAAAGTGTTTTCAGTTTCCAGTCATGGAAACACTCCAGCTGCACAGAATTCACCCTTGATCGTATGCATACAGGAGTTCATCCTGAGAACACTTCCTTACAGAAGTGGCATCGTCATGGTGTTGCAAACAAAATCCAATCGGAATCCAATCTGTCAATCTGAGCAACCATCTCAAAGATCCACAGGTGACGTCACAAACGGCGCCAGCATCACCAAGGGTGCCAGTTCGCTCCGTTGAAGCGATTTCACACTGGCCTTGCAGGTCAAGACGTGCATCGTCATCAAATGAAGACCCGTACGTTCATCGCCTTGAACCTCTAATCAGGCCCGATGCGAAGTTTTGGAAAAAGGCAGCGCTGTAATATGCTCATACAGTAGCAGGATCAACAGGCAAACTCCTCTTGAGCTTTAAATTTACTTTATTGTTATATAATTCTAATAGCTCTTTTGTTACTACTAGTAAGGCACTTGTTACTACTAGCGTGGCACCTGTTACTAGTAGAAACAATAAGTTCAATCAGGACAAACCATTTCTGAGAATTCGGAAGACAATCTTCTGCCTCTAATGGCTCTACGACCCCCCAGCTGAGCATCCATGCCTCTGCAGCAGCAATGCTGAAGGTTAAAAGCCCGAGCTGACGCGGAAAAACACATTGGAACGTGCATGAACGCGCAAAGCGTCACAAGTTGATACCAAATGAAGCAGCATCTAAGTGATTGGGGTAGCCCAAAGATCTTCATTTTCCTACTTGACGGTTGATTGTGCGGGATTGGTGTATTGCTGTGCGTATCACTGAAGCAGCTGCGGAACGCAGCTTTGGATTTCGAGAATCCCAGGAATTACAGGTTGCTGGCATAATCCTGGGCCTGTTTATGCCCCTGGAATTACCGGCTGGCCAACCCGAACTGTTCTGACTTCTGCCGCAGGGTCATAGCGTTTCGATGACTGATTTTCGATCGACCCAAATGCAATTCTTCTGGCGCGGTTCGCAGCCAGACCTGGCCTCTGTGAACTTCCAGGCATTGGCATCCCCTACAGGGAAAGCTCTTTTCATATATCTTGGAAGCTCTTGAGAGAAGGAGAAGGAAAGCCGGAGATACTGTATCATTGCCGGTTGTCGTTGAAACAGTAAACATATATGATAAAATCAAAACCTACCAGTAGTAGATCGTTGATTCATTTCAGCTCTTTTCTCCTGCAGCTTCACTTGCGCCTGCTGCGCGTCCATTTTCCCCCTTTTCAATCCTCGGAATAGATAGATAGATAGATAGATAGACGTAGATAAAGAACACAAAGAAGAGAAAGGCATTCAAACCTTGTGGCAATGGTCTTGACATGTCTTGACACATGGGCTACCAAAACTGCCCCCCCAAAGCGGCAGTAGATAAACACATCTTTGTACAAATTCTTCTGCCTTTCGTGGCCTAAAAAGTAGAAGAATAAGTGATCATTTATCATCATTTACCTAAGAGCGATGGCCTCCAACATCCTCCAACCTACTACAGCGATGGCCTCCAACCTACTGGCCTTTACCTTGTGACCGTAAAAACCGCTGCAAATGGGACAAAGCCGACTGAGTGCTGCACAAGGTCTCCACGACATTGGCCAGCGATCTCGTCGCTTCCCGCCTCGGAACGCGGGAGCCGACGACGGTGCGGACGACCGGTGCGGGACCGGTCAACCGGTCAACCGGTGTTCATTGTGATGTGCAAGGTGCATGCAGTTTTTAAACTGGCCATTTGCGACGGCGTTGTTTGATTTTTAAACTAAGCCACCATGCAGAACTTTGACACCGGCCAATTGGCACATGCAGCCCATAATGCTTTAAACCGGTATCTTGCATAATCCCGCTTCAGCGCCTCACTTGAAACTCTCAAGCATCGAAGAGAGCAAACCCTCGCCGGATAAGCGCACCATGCAACCCCTGGAAGGATTGGACCAGCAATCTTCGCAAGTCCACAAGTGGCGTGCCATGCAATTGCAATCGAACTCCGCATCGGATGTCCACTCCGCTCTTGACAGGTGTTTGGAACAGAACAAAACATCGAGAAAAACAACCCTGTGAGATATACATCAGATATATCTACTGGTCTAGGTCTAAGTCTAAGTCATTTGAGCCACTGAGTGGTTACAGTCTGCCTGAAGTGATCATCCTCCTCCTGAAGGGTGATGAAGAGGCAAACAATCAGCAATGAACGACCCCAACAACATCAACAAACATCATATTGCATGTGGGGTCACAGTTCCCAGTCAAACGCTGAATTGCCTCATTTCTTTCTTCGCACCACTTCCATTTGTCAAGGACTGACATGCAGGTGTCGGCCTCACTTGAACTCCTTGGTCTTTGCACTCCTTCATTCCCTTATCGGAGCCAAAATCCCTACTTGAAAGTGTCTAGTCTAAAAAAAAACTTTGGCCAAAAAAATGAACCTTCAAAACAGGATGCGTTGTTGCTTCAAAACATTGAACTTTCAAGGAATGGCCAGTTTGTGTACTTTCCAGGTGTCCTGTTGCAGGTATTCATTTGGATCATTTCGCCACGCTTCTGCCTGTCACTGCGGGCAAATTCGGTAGAGACAGGAAGACCCGAAGGACTACAGACTCGAATTCACATGTATTCCGTATTCCCTCTTCAAACAAGGGTCGGCAGGCCTATAACGACGCGCCTGACCACATGCTGTCCCCCTTAAAATTACGATTTCGCAGTGCTTTCGTATTGGTTTTTACAGTGGATGTTAGCCCGCCTGCACATCCCGGTCCATGAGCTCTTTTTGAGTTGAACACCCACGCTACGTCGCGAGCGGGATCTGCAAACTCGGATGGTGGACACCCAACTTGCGAGTCTCGACTCAGCCGGTATTGCTTGAAAGCTTCAAGGACTGCAATCAAGACCTGGGTTCTTTAACAAATAACCTGATAACGAACTGCCAGCTGAGTAAAGTGGGACATACTTAGTAGGAGCAACTCTGCCCAGCAGGTTTCGCCGTTTCATCTGCCCTTTAGTTCGAGAAATTTCACTTTCTGCCTGGTTATCTCCACCTAGTGACCTAGTATTCCCACGGTCTTTGCTTTCAGCAGGGCTGCCGGCTGCTCAGCTTTAGCCACGTCCCTACGTGTGTGGGCCATATACTCTTCTTGCGCATGCGAACATGACGTTAATATCCAGCCCACCCCCCCCCACCCCTACTTCGAAAGCAGCTGAAATACATGGCAGGCGCATTGTTTCGCACACGTCCCAGGAGTGCATGGAAATTCTCAAATGAAAATAGTGCATCGTTGCACAATGCATGTCAGCGTGTCCAGAAAACGTGTAACATACGCGGCAGGCGCAGTGTTTCGCGCACATCCGAAAGGTTCCGATTGCGAAGTGCGTTTCGACTGACAGGCGTGGTAAAAAGAAAGAAAAACTAAACTCGCAGGGCCCTGCTGTTTCTGGTGTGCAAACGCACGTCCTTACATGCACGCTGCCCGCGGAGCCTCAAACAAAGCATGCCATCTTCTGAAACAATTCAGGTCGTAGAATCCAGTTGTGAAGGGAACATGGACCACACTCTCATACGGCTCGCGGTACGGCTCGATTTCTGGCACGCGCGAACCCTTAGCACCATTTAGCACCTGCCTGTGCCTCGGTGATCCGCATGAAGGGCACGAAGAGCTGACAGAAAGAGCGAAGATCGAGGGGGTGATGCTTTTACACAGATACCTGATCTTAGTGGATGTCGATCAAAGTCTTCCAATGCTTGGAATAAAAAGCAAACTTCCAGTGCGAAATGAGCCCGCAAGAAGGGCCCTCAAAACAAAGGATGAAAGACATATGGGCCACAGGGGTGCACTCCAACGACAGGGACATTCCAGGATTCTGCACTCCGGAACAATGACAACTGTCTTCTTTTTTGCACAACGATGTGATTGATGCAAGATTAGATTGTACCAGCTTGTTCAGCACGGCATAGAATACATGACACATCCTGGCCCCCGTTCTGGGGCCCCTCAGTTGTTTTCATTTGAGTGTTCAATGAACAATCTTGGCCAGGAGCAACTTTCAACACATCTATCATCTATACAACAAACACAACAGCAGAGAAGGGCCGATGGTGAAGGGCAATCACTGCGGGGCATGTTCCACTTCGTTGCCGTTTGGACGACTGTCGTTTCAGAAAATCGATCTCATCGCGTGCTATGAACTTACTTGGAGAATCCCGTGCCAAACCAGGTGTGTCAAACACGCACCTGGATCAAACTCTTCACACGGTTCTTCAGAAGAGCTTTCAGCTTCGAACGCCCAGCCAGGACCTGTCGGAGAAGAACGTGACCAACCAGTGTTCCACATCAGCCGCTAGCAGCCGCTAGCATCTGTCTTGGGCCATTGGGCCAGCAAATGCCGTTGATGGCGAGTCTTTCTGAAGCTGCAGGCAAACTGGAGAAAATTAATAGGGCTAACAAATTGAAGCCTATCTTCTATCTTGTGAGGTAACCATTTCCCCAAACTCAAGTTTACTCATTCTCTGACTCTTGAAGAAGTCTCCGCTGTACTTTCCCGTAAGTTGCCTGGATCAGCTCCATGCACTGCGCCACGAAGGAAGCCATACCACCCTTTGGCCGCGCTCTGCGACTACTGTCCGTGTGTCCGCAAAGCGATGGCCGTCTAAAGAACACCTCTGGAGCGATGGCCTCCAACATAGTGTCTATTGACAAGTCCTCAAGTGGAAGGACTTTCGCTATTGCAAATTGAACCGACTTGTCTATCTCAATCACTTCCCGCACTCATTTCCGCTGTTCCTTTCACTAGATTATATGGATCAACAGTGGCCTTGTATGATGGCACTGGACTGCGTTTACACGGCCTCCTCTTCACTCTCGCCCTTGTCATCGCTTTGGATCACAACCTACGCACCAAATGACCAGGTTGCTGCTTGCCATTTCTACGTCCTTTTTGGTGGGTTGACCTGATCATTCTTCACTGACCTCCCGTCCGTGGTTCTAGGTTGATCGCTTCGTCTTACCCCATAGCTCAACACTCAGACTCAACAAACTTTATCATCTACAGTACCAGAATCACAGAGGAACCAGCATTTAATCACCCTGCCAGTTATATCTCCACCTGAAATAGCCGGCCTATCATTCATAGATTTTGGATGTGGCATTTTTGACACTACTGCCTAATCACTTCAGAGGTTCGATGAGCCTGATGGGCAAGTATCTTTCCGCCTCGTAGTCTGGCTGCAAATTCTGCACCAGAAGGCAAGCGGGTCTCAAAATCGCCTCTGCCACCAGCATTTGCACAAAGCACAAATTCCCAGCAAATCATGCATAACATCCAAATAGAATCCAGACTGCTTGATTCAAGAATCACATAAACAAGACTGTGTTTCCCCTAATCACCTGGTTAGGGCAAGAGCACTTTCCACTCCAAGATGGCGTTAACTTCGTTGTCATTTCTAGATGACCCAATACCCACCACTCGCTCCTCGATCTGGTCACCCATGGACTCCACCAATTCACGAAAGCGGCAAAGAGCGGTGACCTTAAACAGGGTTTAGTGTTGACCTCAAAAAACAAAGACAACAACCTGTCCAGTGAGGGGGACGCTTCCAGTTGAATTCTATTCAAGCCCCCTTGCATGGCAATGCTGTTCAACAAGGCGATCTCCCAAGGACTGAAAGCTCTCCGACCAATCGCAGCACTCGGCTGCCCATCACTCTCAGGATGGCTAAGGTTCCTGGCTGCCTGGAGCACAGCGAAGGTGTTCTTGATGCGCTCGGTTGGAGGCCAAGAGCTCTGTCCTGCAACCATCTGAAACATCGAGGAGCACGACACATCACTGTTTCCAGCGTCTGCTTTGACAAATGCCAACTCCTGCTCAAACTGTTCAGAGGAGACGGGGGAGACATCACTTTTTGCACGTGTTTGGACTGTTGAGCGGTTCAGCATGCTTGGACAATGACACAATTCCTCACCATTCGGTGAGAACTGAAAAGCTTCTCTTCGGGAAACTTCAATGAGACTTCTTCGAGATGTCCACAGGAAGCGCCGGGTGGAGGACTCGAAAGTTGAATAGCTTAAACACTTCCTTCATCCCGAGACACACCATCCACAAGATCCAGGCAGATCGGCCGAGATGGCCGACATTGCCCGGATGCGCATTCGCCATCTTGGAAGGCGGGGCAGAGCTGTCACAGAGTGGTCTTCGTCATAGTTCATACAAGGAAAAACGACGCGTGACAGGCGCAATGGCATGAACGCCACTTTGAGGAATGACTTATGGCCTGCGTGCAGCACCAACAGTTCTAAGATCGCTGAAGGTCCTTCCTGCTTGGCATGTACACCGGGTGTTTGAGAGATTCAAGACCTAGAACACCGTGGTGTTTGTCGGCTGCTGCAAGTCTGGTATCAAATCAGGTATCAAATCAGCATCCTCATCTTCTTCCATTTCTGGAACATCTGCCTGAATCGTCTCTTCCATTTTCTTTTTAGAGATGGTAGCCTTGCTGCAGTATGAGCACAGCCAGCCGCCAAGCAACCTCTCTCGAGCCTTTTCTTTTGCTTGCCGAATCTTCTCCTGGGCGGGTCAGTGGTGGTGCTGTCGACACTGTGCTGTCGAGGTCGAACTTTCGAGGAACATTCACTCCTGGCAGTCATGAATTTGGGGGTCATGCTGGCCTGTTTTGTACCTCTGCCTTCTTCCCTTACGATCTGCTTGTATCCATGTGATAGCCCGACATACACACACACACAAAGAGGTTTGTCTTTTCTTGCCCTTATGTCGCTCCTCATCACAGCGAATGATCCATAGTCGTGCTTGACACAGCGTTCACATGCGTTCACACACACCAGTAGTCTAGTTCCTTGATGTTCCTTCTTTGAGAGATCAGCATTGTCACACGCCACGCCTGGATCTTCTGTGCTGCCCGCTCTGCAGCGAGGCGTGCCACAGCTCGCGCCATCCCCTTGTGCCCCTTGTCGCCCGACGGCAACTTCGCTACAGCCTGAGCACACGGCTAGCGTGGGTCGTGCTTAGCCGAGCCATGACGTGAAGATCTTCTCGACCATGCGATCGGGCCATTCGCAAGGGGGGATCATGCTCGTGACCAGCGATCTTCTCATGTCTCATCACCGATCATCGTGACCAGTGAAATCGAAGCTGAGAGACGTTCTCTCAGCATATTCAGGTAGCCGTGACTTATGGTAGGATAGATGACACATGTCCACCTTCTATGAAAACAACTGCGGGTTCTATGTCCACTCATGACATGCTTTTTGCAGCTTGGAGACATTGTAAACCATACTGTCAGTCACGGCCCACACAAAGCCAATGGGACCACCTGCTCGCAGCCCAGTTTGAGCAGCTTGTCCAAGCAAACGCTAGTTGTTGCTCTCATGCAACTTGTGGCTTCCAACTTCTACTTTGCCTTCCAGATTCGGTACTTTTGGGTTTTCCATCATATGACAGACTGACTCCCTTGAAGGGAAAACGCTCGACACTTCAGCCACCTAGACGAAGCTTCAACAGTCGCAAACTTTCTTCATGACCTCAGCTAAGGAGTCTGGTCTGCCAGTGCCCTGTGCCTGAAGGACGAAGTAACAAACTATTTGTAGTTTGGGATGAATTCAAGTTAATCTAACAACACAACATTTGTGAGGAAGTTGGTCTTTGCAAGTGGCTCCAAGCAAATTCCAAAGACATGTTTCCCAGGTATATAAAGATAAACCTATGACTATACGTATTTATGTATAACGTATATTATATATTATATACACGGTATATATAATCACTAGGTCTAACTCTACAAAGCAGTGGGGGTGGAATATGCATTATTCTCTAGGTAGGGGGGCGCAGGTGGAAGACTTTTCGAACAGGGGGAGTTAACATACAGAAAATTGAACACGCATGTCTTTCTTCTTCTCTCGGTGAGACTCGAATTGTCTGCGTATGGAGGGGGGACACCGACCCATGCACATCATGCCAACAAGGACATCAGAACGTTCCAGAACATTTTCTAGCCTTTATCTTTTCTATCCTTTGTGACAGGCTCAATGGAGAAGCTGAACTGCATTGAGATGAAACAAGTGCCGGTCTGGACACAGTGCAGTTGTCTGAAATGCCACTGTGGGGATCATTCGAAGCAAAGTAATTAAACCATGTTTTACGCAAGTTATCCTTTGAGGGCGTACTCTTTTTTGGATTATAGTAGAAAAGTACTCCATGCGGTCTTCTGAAATGTTCTCGGGGTGGGTGTTTGGATCAAGATCAAGATCCATTTCTCTCGTTTCATGGGAATGCTTCCGCTCAAATTCAGCTTGGGATCCATCAGAACGCGCATAGTCGAGAACATTCTTTCCACGTGCATCTTTGACGTAGAGGGCCACGTAGCACCTGGAGCGAAGAACTCTTTCCTCATACTTTGCCCCTGGATTCCTGCCTTCAAGTCCCCGGTCTGGCTGAGTTCTATAAAGTGTACGAAGATGTACGAAAAACGCATGTCGCAACCTCAGAATACTCCCTACACCAGGTGTCACATGCCGTAAGTAACGACATGTAACGACATTTGTCTTATGAAAATCCCTGGGATTTGCACCACTGGATCTCGCCTGCTTCGGTTGATGGCACCCAGTGCCAAATCCAAGATCTGCAGCCGCCGCAGGCCCACGGCGTAGTGAACCTCAGTGCCACGACGAGTGCCACGACGAGTGCCACGGTCCTGAAGCTCCGCCGTTCCGAATTCTGGAGAAACAGAACATGGGAATTCGGAATACCTCAGATAGCGAGAATCCGCTCAGTTGTGCATTACTTCGGCACAACCTCCAAGTCTACCCGTCGACACCCTCAGGTCCCAGAAACACAGTTCGCGCCATTCAGGTCTTGCATGGATGGATCTGCAGCAGAGTCCAAGAGAAGTTTTGCACTTGAGACCTGTGCCAGATGACACGTTGTGCCGAAAAGCGGAACCAACACCGAAGTGCTTCATAGTTGAATATCATTGAACATCTTCCACAAACCAAATACTTTCTTATGTAGGTGGATCGTGGTTTAGGTGCAGCCCCATAAACCAACTGTTACTGTGGTGCATACATTCAATACCTTCATGGATTCTTTGGTTATGACATGTTATGACGCGTTCTTTTAACTTGTTGACTAAGATTTCCAAATGCCCTCAAATCTTTCCATGTTTGCAAGAGCCTTGTTGTTCACTGTGGCAGTGATCAATGCAGTGACACCCCTCTCGTTGAACATGTCCAAGGGCACTGATGCCTCTACACCTGCTTTGGATGCATGGGGCACTGGTGCAACATCCCAAGGCACTGATCCAAGCATTGGAACCACATGCTGAACCAACAATTCCAAGAGACACAAATTCTTACACATAAAAAACAATAATTCAGTTTTCGGAAGACATTGCTGCACTGGATGAGATCGGGAAAAGCACAACAACAACGGCAGTTGACGTGGAGAACAACCGGAAGTTTGATCAACTGAGCTGAAGCACAAAGTTTGATGAAATCATAGTCTCCATCGGCCCCTGCTTCGATCAACTGGCCGGGCAGCTGTTGGAAGGTCTTATTGTCCTGAAGCTGGAAGAGGCACGGTCTTATCACGGTGGAGACGGGGGGTTCCCCGAGCTGCATCATCTGTTCAAGGTGTCACAACTGCAGTGAACCTTCAACCTGCTGGGGTTCGGCATTTGTTTTGCCATGAATTGTGGTTCTTTTGAAAATACAAAATTGCGAACATATTTCGTTTTTGTTCGCGCAAGTTGACTTTGCATGCAATGCTTTTTTAGTTTCCCAAAAACCTGACCTGAGTGAAACTGCCTGAGGAGCAGGTTTCCAGGTTTGAGACATTGTCCTACGAACCTGCCAAAAGTGTGAAAAACCATGGGTTTCGCCGTGCAAAATGACTGACCATCATTTTGTACTGTAAAAACCAATACATTGTGAACATCATTGAAAAGGCACACCTTGATAGTCAGCCATTTTTGCTTGTTTTCGATGTGTTGATGTCTCTTCAGGAGATGTTTGGACTTGGATTTCTATGTTTTTCCACACCCAATCCTCCATGTCAAACTCCTTTTCTCACAACTTCCACAGAGGCTTCTGTTCTGGAAGCAAGCAGCTGGACTTACCAGCCCTTGCGACGCCTTTTGCTTCCAAGACACTCTCCAAGCCAGGCTTTTTGTTCAAGCGGCAACTTAACATGAAAGAAACATAACATCAAACGCGTATGCAAATGAACATCAACTTAACATTCCAGAAACATAACATCAAACCAGTTTCGTGCGCTAATACCCCCCCCACCCCCACCCCCCCGACCATCGAGCGACATCGAAAACTTGACATGAACCTCTCGGAGAACCCCCCGTCTGGAGGGTCTTATCAATCTCACACCCACGCGGAAAAGAACTGGATGGTGGTTTGAGGCAGACCTGAAACCAGCGCATGATTGAACATCATTGAGCTTCGCAAAAACCACGGCAAAGATGTGTGCACACGCACCAAGGTGTGAAGCTACCAAAGTTGCTTGGTATCAACTAAGTAAACATCAAAAAGTGATCTCCACATCCGAACATGAGCACAGCTATACACAAGGCGGTCGCGATCGTGGGGACCGGATGCTGCACTTGGAATCTGCACAACAGGGTGCCGGGTGGATTGCTGCAAGAAGCCCTGCACAAACGTGTGAACCGAAAAGTGTGAACGGGAAGAAACGTTCGATCCCAAACTTTCTCGTCGAGTCTCAATCTTGGCCAAACGTTCTTGACGACGCTGCAGCAAGGCCACATGGTATTGCACACGACGCCCTGAGAAACGCCGAAACGAACGCCGCGATGGGGAGATGGGATATTTTGTGACGGACCAGACCAAAGGTGGTGCAAGGCCACATGCAAACGATGTTACTATCATTTACTATAGATGTTAACAAGGCTTGTCACTGTACCAACACTTTAAACTGAAAAGACATGCAGGCCAAGATGGTCATCTTGGGATTTTTCTGGAAGATGAGTGATTTGCATCTGAAGATATCCAATGACAAGTCTATAGTTAACTGGCTGGTTAATCTGTGTGACGAAAGACGGGATCTTCAAGCAATTGTCTCCCACAGCCCACTACTTTGTCCATTTGAGCGTCTGCCAAAGCGCAGTGTCAAGTAGAGGACATGATTCAGCAAGGGTATCGCTTTTGAGGGGTCCCATCGCTCTTCCCGTTTTGGCGGTTGCTCATTTAGACCGGACAACAGCCGAAGCTTTGTGCGGATCTCTGCCGAGCTGCCCGTGAGCTCAATATCGTTCAACTCTTCGTCACTGAGACATTTCAAGTTGGATGGCCTATAGCAATGGTCAAAAGAACATTGATGATGAATTCACCCACCACTCAGACTCACCTAATTCTGAAGACTCATCTTTTTGTGCAACGAGACGGATTTGAAAATCAACCAAATAACTCCCAAACATAAGCTGCTGCCTCTCATCCCGTCTCAGCTGCTCCAGCACCTGGCCATGGGACAAAGATCTAAAAACGAATGATGTGAAGATGTGAATTCCATCAATATCAATCAACCATGCCCTTTTGATCTCAGTTCTTCTTCTTCTTCCTCCTCCTCCTCTTCTTCTTCTTCTTCTTCCGTTCGCACAAAGTACACAATCGATCATGATACATCACTCTGTGAGAACCATGACGTGTCGTTTTTGAAAAACTTATTCTTTTTAATACCACAGGCTGCGCGGGTTTGGACACGGTTTGGCCAAGACTTGATCCACCTTGTTTGTACAGGAGAATTATTGGACGCATTGGGGACTGCACTAAGTAGACCTATTTTGGTGTAGCTCGAGCTCATACACCAAAATCTGCCCTCCACCCCACCCCATCTCATGAAACAGTTCAGAATGCGATTCAACAATATATTCAACATATTATATTATATATATATAAGTATCACAACCCTCTCCGAATAATGGGCCTCCATGATAGGCAGTCACTGTCTATCCCGTTATCTCTGTTTTCAGGCTGCCTTGCTCTTTTCGCTCCAACCATTATATGTCTTCTCTGAAAGTGGTACTTCAGCACCCCCCGACATAGCTGTCGATCACACTCCGTTGGCCGTCGCCCATCCTCCCCGACCTGCAGGCGCTCTTCCTCCAGCAACTTCTGCCTGTTGCACTGGCGCTTGGCCGCCTGACAAAGCCCTCGCACGTGCAGTGGAGCTGGCCTAGGAGGAAATCGGAGTGGTTGTCTGGTCTGGGAGGCAAACATCATTTCTGAGTGTAATCACCAACTCGATCATTTCTGAGCTAGAATTCTGCTTCAAGGTGAGGAGTTTCAAAAGATGTCCTCTTTGTCTCCACGACCGAAAGCACGCAAAAGGCAAGGAGCTTGTAGATGGGCGGCTCAAGCTTTGTAAAGAGCTCCATCAACTCCTCCTCTTCCTCTCAAAATGCTTGTGATGAGTGAAGAAACCTACTTGGTCCCCTACACCGGGTCTTGGCTGTATGTGTTTTTCTTCTGATTCTATATGATTCTATATGTATATATACATACTGTATCTGTATACGGTATATTACAGTATATCTTTGTCACTGAACCACGGACTGCGTGGAAGGCATGAGACATGTATGATTGAACGACACGCGTTTCAAATCTGCGTTGAACTCTTAAAGCAGAGAGCTCGGTGAGCTCGGTCGGACACACAGTCCTTCTCATAGACAGTGCGGCGGGGCTTCCTCTCCCCTTGATTCTCTTCTTGGTTCTTCTCTTCCTCCTCTGGCTCAGGACGCTCAGGACCCAAAAGAAGATCATCCCGAGCATCGTAGGCTTTCCTCGGTAGGCAAGTGATCTTGTGAAGAGCATTGTAGATCCTGTCCTCTTCACGGCGGTCCGATCGGTGAAGATGGATGTGGGAGGCTCTCTGCATTGAAGAAGATTGAACATATGCAAACACAATCAAAGACATGTACTCTCCCTGCAATTAACATGGAAGTGGACAACCACCTCTTTGTAGTGGAAAATGGTCTTCCAAGGGGCCATTCTCCACTTCCATGTTAGTTCCAGGGAGTGTAGTCTTTAATGACATCTTTGCCAAGAACTTCCAATTGCCACCCCCCGACCACTGAACACCACATTTTGCAGTCCAAGTCCAAGTCAACGATCCAAGTGAATAGAACATAGCTCGCTGACACAGTACATTGATTAGCTGAGTTGGTTTTGATATGTTTTGATTGGTCTTTTCGACTGGGTTGGTCGGCTACCTTGTTGGCATGCTGCATGTATGTTACGGTGACTCAATCTGCATCAGGCTGACATGGCAGGAACTCTGTTCCCCAAATCCTATACGCACTGAACGACCATCTTGCTGCTGCACCCCGTTCCAGCATCAACCAACATTTTTCTGGCCTTTCTGATGTTTCTAGGGCTGCTGTAAGTGCCTTGTGGAAGACATCTGGAAGTTCATCAGTTGGAGGCACTCTTCAAGTTTCAAGTCTCATCTTGGGTTTGTTCCGGAGATCGTAAAGTTGCTGCAAAAGCTTAGTTGAATGCACGAAATCGTATGTGACCTCAGCCAGGAAGCACTGTTTCCAATAATGGTTTCTGCGACAGATCTGGCTTCAGTATTTTTGGGATTGAACCCACACACGGCTGCTGTGCATGTCTGTGCATGCAACTGCAAACATCCGGACTGAAAGCGCAAGCGCCCAAACGACAGCCTTGTTCTTATGCATAACGACAGCCTTAGACTAGACTACAACAGAACAAATATGTTAAACACCATATCATATGCGCATGCAACCGAATGTCGTAGCAATGGCAATGAACATCAATATCATCTCACACCCAACCCAAAATGTCAATGCCTGGGGGTGACCGAGTATAGCACTGTACAGTACAACCAAAAATGCTTCAACAGGTTCTTGGTCTGACTGGATGTTCTCATGGCAAGTTCAAGCGTCTTGGCCAAATCCATGGCGAACTTCAATGCCTTTACTTGCCCCGTCATCTTGGACAAAGCGGAGCTGGCTGCTGCGGACAACTCGGGATCTCCAGTCTCACCTGGCACGATCAGAGTCGTGAAACCTGTCCCGAAAGCACAGCAACAATTACATTCTGCACAGAAGCACAGAAATACACTATAGAAGTAGCCCAAAAATGGAAACTACTCTGTACAGAATCTGTCTAGTGACTAGATCGGAGCAGATTGAATACACAAGACATATCAAATTTGGAACAGCAGAAAATATCGTGGTGGATCAAAGCCCTGGCAATTCCATGAAAGGTAAAGGCGTCCAAACAACGTCGGCAATGAGGGCGTGAAGAGCAACCATGAGCAAAAACTCACCAAACTCCTTCCTGGATTCAAGAAGTATACAATCAAATGTGATATGAGTTGCAGCCTGTAGAAACAATTAGCTGCAAGTTGACGTAAGCAAAGTAGGTAGGCATTCCTGATAACTGCAAACATGCTGCAAGTTAGTGCAGTGGTGTGTACGTAGTTACTAGGGGGCAGTAGCAGAAGCAACACAAGTCTGTAGGACAAATTGCCACAAGGCAGGACAAAGATGATATTCACAATGTTCAACCAAACCAGGTCATGAGGGACAAACTCATGAACTGCCCCCACGTTCCTTTTTTTTCTGCACTTTAAACTCACAAAGACCATTGACAGCCTCCGCCCTCTTCCAGCTCCTGGAACGGAGAACGGGTTGTCGAATTCTCAGCTCGTGTAGGCACCCTGTCTGGAGACACAATTCATATCAATGCATATTGTATTGGCACCTAACTCGTTTGTTGTCGAAGGAAGCAAACCCGAAGCACAAGGGACAAGGGCTGTTTAGTTTGGGCTGAAAGAAATCAAAGCACAATGCCTGGTCACCAGTCACAATGCCTCCGCCTCGAGGAACGTTCACAAAAGATTTGGGTAGAACAAACCTCCTAAGTCCCAAGCAATAGTTCAGTGGGAAACACCATGAATTCCTTCCGATTACAGGAGTTCTGGAGATTCCCGCGCACAGAACAGTTTGGCAAAACCTCTAGTAGACGTAGTAGATCTGCGATTCGATATGTTGCATTAAACCAGTTCAATTCTTTTACGACGTCTTTACACTGTACTCACACCAAAGGACAGCAAAGGAGCTTCCTTTTGCCCGCTCTCCTCTGTGATCTTGCCCGATGAGCGCGATGCACCAGTCTTCCCTTCCAGTTTCATGCTTCCCATGCTTCCCTTTCGGCTTCGGCTTCGGCTCGGTCTGGAGCCTGTCTCTGGCTCTTCCGCATCAGCCATGGCCAGCCAAGGAGACCATGGCCTTCCTCGTCTCGATTGAAGAGAATAGAAGGCACTAGTCTGTCTCTGGTGACTGCAACTGTGCCTGGTACTGTATGGATATCGACATCGATGAAAGTGCATGTCAAGGAGGTTACCCAATGTCTTGGGCCAGATATGAACCGGCAGAAAAGCCTGTTGCATTCCGGGATGAAAGAAGCCGCTCTGTTTTCCTCTCTGCGTCAGGTCAACCCCAGCAATTCAACAACGGATCCGACATGCCCATGGAGCCCCCCTTCTTTTCAGCGCTGTAGACGGATCCTCTGTGGCGTCACCGGAGGTTGCGCCGCGCCCTATCTTGCTTCAACCAGTCGATTGCTTAAACGGAGTCGATTGCTTATGTGTTACAATGCATTGGTACCATGCTACAATGCTAGGCGTTATGCGTAGTCTGCGTAGTCTGCGCTTCAACCTTCAACTTCGCTGAGTGCCTCTCAAGGCGTCACTTTGGGAGGCGCCTAGGGCGGAGTTCAGCCTACTCGCTGCACCTGTCTATACAGATTGCAAGCAGTCTTGACATCTCGACATTACGCATCTCTTACAAAGCAGTGATTTGTCTATGTATAGATAAAGCGCTTCCGCTAGTGTGAAACCAACACCTTGGACATCAAGTAGTCAAAGAAAATTCAAAACATTATACCAATGACTTTGGCAAACACTTGCTAGGCTTCCAGCATATTCGCCCCAGAGCCTGCATGGGAAACATGCTGGCAAGTCATGCCAACAAAAAAACAACACAACGAGTCAGTGAAGCATACCACCAAGATCACAGTGAGGATCTCCCTTGTACAACAAAAACACGAGCTTGAAGCCTGTTGATACCTACGAACCTTTGTTCAGATCGTGGTGCCTGAGTCTGAGGGTCGAATTGTAACATATTTTACCTACCACTACACGTTCTGCACTGACGACTGTTTTGAGTCGTGAGTCAGTCAGCTCTTCTCCCTTGAAGGCCAGGCCAGTGGATTCTTTTGCGAACCCTGCATCAATGAGGGTGCAGCAGTTCGCGCAAAAGGAAAGCAAATCACAAGGATTTTCTTTGGCAAATCAGGAAAACACATAGAAGTTACACCGGCATAGACCCCAAATTGCGGATCTATAGCCTGCAGCTATCTGGGGAAAAACACCCTTTTCCTTGGCGAGTCCTCCTTGAAGACCTCGATGTTGTGATCCAAGAGCTCATGCTTGTCAAATGTATCATCGCCTCCAAGAGACCGCGATGCTCTCAACATGTCTGAGTCCCCCAAATGAATGTGGTTTGGGTGATTGCGGGTGAGTCACCTTGTCCATGGGACGGTTTCGGAGCTGTCTATGTCATTCCATGTTCAAACCAATCTTCATCTAACTAAGCTTCAACAAGTTCCTTGAGCGCCAAGGTCCTGGATTCCTGGATGCCAAGTTCCCAAATTGGCTGCAGAGTTCACACAGTCCAAGTGGACTGCAAAGCATCACAAGCGCAACACTCAAAGCTACAGTATATTAATTGGGATGCTCTGAAACTGAGGATCCTCCACAAACTGATCAAATGTGTGGATAGTCCACTGACACCGTTCACAACTGAAACCAACTTGAGAGGAGGGAGACACGAAAGGTAGGACAGCGGGAAGAGAAGAGAACGCGAGAGGCAGGAACAAAAATGCAATGTTCGACATGGTGATTTATCCCCTCGGAGGCGACCTTTCGTAAATATATGTTCATATGCACTTTAAATGTTCAAACATGTGCTCTCGAAATGTTCAAAAAGATTCTTAGGAAAACAAACTTGCCCCATGGCTCAGATCATCGGTGAGCATTGAATCGGAACATCATAGGATTTGAACTATCCTGAAACCATAAGAGGCTCACGAAGACGCTCCCCAGGAGAGAATTGACGTGCTTCACAAAACAAACTCTAGGTATGTATCCCCTCGGGGAACACCTTTCGTGATTAGAATTTCATATTCACTCTTTCTGAATGTTCAAGAGGGTTTCAACTATCCTGAAATCATGAGAGGCTCACGAAGACGATCTCCAGGAGAGAATTGATTTTAGAGGGGGGGGGGGGGGGGGGGCTGTTTTTAGAAAAAAAAATTCGAGGGGGAGGGGGTGGGGGGGGGTCTGAATTGAGCGATCAATTATTAGACCCGGACGTCCCAACACTTGCTTCGCAAGACAAACTCAAGGTATCCCCTAAAGGGCTACCTTTCGTGACTATTCCGAAGCAAGTCGTGTTCGTTCGCCCTCTGAGTGGCAGACTCTTGAACACGCAAACGATCGCCAGGCAATGGCCCACCTGGCCGATTCCAGGCACATTCCCCTCGTGCCATCCCCTAATGAAAAAGAACAAACATGAAGAGCCTGGAGTTCCATATTGACCTAGTGTGGCTTCTAAGTCTGGCTTTCCTTTGGATATCCAGTTGAACCTGGCCCGCTCGTCTTGTTTGTATTCTATCACCGAACCTTGTCCGACATGCCATGGTCGCATGGATCAAAACGTGATACAAATGCGCCGAACACCCGGCGGGCTGCGGACACCCCGCCCGGACGGAAGCACGTGCACCCAAAAACGCTCGGTTCGCACGGAGCTCAGTGGAAAACCTCCTTGAGGATCAGCACCGCGCCATTTTGTAGGTTGAACTCACAGGCCGCGTCTTTGTTTTCCTCGAGGCCTGAAACATCGAGGTAACTCTTGGCAGGACCTGCTTGGCATTAGTTAGTTAGTTGCTTGGAGTCAAAGGGCCTCTTGGTCAGGAGGGTGAGAGGTCAAGATCTACATCACCAGTAATTAAGTCATGAACAACAACCCCCCAACAAGAACTGCTTCTGGCCAGCAAACCAAGTGCCCTAAGCACCATTCTGCACCTCTTAGGGCCCAGCCATTGCCATAGATGCATGCAATGTCGATGACCAAATCAACCATATCGGCACCTCAAGAGACTTTTGACCCACTGGGCCACTGGCGTCTACCTGTGAAGGAAGAATATACAAGAAACAAATTGGAACAAATCTAAGTTTTGGTCAACAAGACAACACATCAACAGCCCCTCTTCTATCAAGCCGGTTTATTGGCCAAATCTCTTCCTCTCAGATTGGTGGCCTCGCTAGCGTCTCAGTCTTTCAATATCAATGTGGCCTTTGATTGTATCCTTTTTTTTCCCAGCAAGATAAACATAAATGCGTTATTTCAAAGTCGATTTTGTGTGCTAAGACCTTGAGACGCAATATGAAGCCTCTCGTTTACCCAACACCTGTCTTTCTAATGCTGCACATTGCATATCTTCATGATGACTTTCACTTGTAATAGTCTAGCAAATGAATTCGCAATCATCAGAGTCACATTGACATGTCAACGAATCACGGGCAACCTGTCTACCTGCACATCAACCAGTTGCTGAAGCTTGGCAAAGGCACACAGCTCATACCACTGAAGGTCAACCGGTTGCCGATCTGATGCCAAGTACAACTGGCAGGGCATGGCAAGACCGGTTTTGTTAAGGCAGCGACATTTGTTTGAAGAATTGCCAGTCAGGAATTGCTGTTCCAATTATTTCAACGCCCAGTTTGCTCTTGTTCCAAACACGCAAAGAAGGGAACATCAAGGCCAACCAGGCCACAAGTGGCACCCGAAGACTCTCGTCGGGCCCAAGGAGCCGAAGAAACACCAAACGAGTGAGCGAAACGAGTGAGAGAAACATGCTGCCTTGGAGACCACATCAAAGAGATACACTTTCTCCTGTGCCCCGTAGCGAGAGAGAAGAAGTGATGGTTTGTTTTCTTTTCCGATTCACCAGCAAAGTTACCCAACAAATAGTCTAGGAACCAAATCATTCGTTCGTGAGCTACCCTGCGTCCTGTTACTAGTAGCATCCTACTTAATAGCTACTGATTCGCTTACCAGCCTACCCCGCGGGGTTTAAAATGGAAAGAACGGTCTAAAGAAGAACGTACGCTAAACACATGTTAACAACTTAGGGCAGACGTCGTTGAGCAATCTAAAGCTACAGCTCACTTGGATTTGAACATGTACCAATGGCATCCAATGGCTATTCTTAACATCAGAACTCACCCCTTTGCCACGAAACCACTCAATCAACACAGTGCTCTTCCAGTCCATGCGGGTGCTATCCAGAAGAGACTGCAGGCAATTCCTGGCACCATGACTTCAGTTTCCTCCCACCTACTTGGAATGGCCTCCAAGCTACTAGCAATGGCCTCGAACCTGGCCTCCAACCTAGAAGCACTTCAGGTATGAGTAACTCTCAAGACCTGTGGTTGCCTCTGTTCGGACTGGAGACGGCTTTAAGATTGCCACAGAACTTGTTGGGATCAACACGACAGCTGACAACTTAAGACGAAGGTTCCGAAGGACCCAAGTTGAGAGCAAATTTTGGAGCAAACAAAGAACATTGTCTCAAGATTCCAACATCCCAGCCGGTCCCAGCCCTCACAAAACGCGACGGACCAACTCCAGCAGCGGCTTTTCTGGTATTAACTTTTGCACGATCTTGCTAAATGCCTGTGACAGTGCGGAGAGCACAGCTGGCTACCAGGTTCACAAGCAATCAGCTCAAAAACTGCGAGTAGCATTCTAGGACACACTAGCATTTTGCCCAAGACAATCTGATTTCCGACATGCTCGGTCAGAGACATACCTGCGACCCTGTTTTGTAGCACACGAGCCACCCCAAACATCGAACGCTGCGCGTCTCTCGTTCTGGTGAAGGCCATTCCCCCCGGTGATGGCGCCATCGCCGGTGCCTCGAAGATCGAGTGATCGTAAATGCTCGTGCAATGGAAATGGATGGTGCACTCCTGCACCTGAGAAGCGTCACTTCCTGTGGTCACTTCCTGGGTTTCATGTAGAGAGTCAGATTTTGAAGGGCTGTGACCAAGAGAATGCACGCCTTGTCTGCAAGTTCCTCTGTGAGCTTGTCATGAATGATCGTTTGGCATTCCATCTTGCCTCAGTCGTTCCAAATTCGGCCCCGCACACCGGGACGGCACCATACGTTGAGGGATGGGACAACGTTACAAACACGTTTCAACAAATCGGTTGACATAGCATGTAATGGATGACACCTCCACGTTGAAACCAAAACACCCATCTCAGTGCCGCCAAACTCGACAACAGGCCACTGGAAGCTTTGCCAATTTGGAGAGGCAGTTAGCTTTCAACATCGGCAATTCTTCAGGAACACATGGGCAACCTACAAACCTGATGAAACCGTCTATGCTTCGGGTGAAAATAGGATTGAAAAGGACTGACCGGGGGTACCAGGGTCTTTTCTCGGAATCGAGACATCCGTTCGAGTGCCAGTCATCTTCCAAGAGACGCTCCTCCGAGTGGAACTTGGCACCGTCCACCTGGCCCCGTCATGAGTGGCAGTCTCTGCGAAGTAGAGCCAGGTCATAAAGAACTCATAACAATTCATAAGAACTCACGGGGTGAGCTTTTGGATTGGGCACGGGGGCTCTTGCACCAACGCTCTTAGCCACTGAAAGAACCATTGAGAGCTCACCCCACCCATTACAAGCACAAGCAATTGATATGACTGATTCTTTCAGCCTGTCGCAGCCTATGTGGATTTGATAGGTGGAAGGCCCCCCTGAAACAGCCATGCCTTCTCATACCTGGCCCTATACCCACCCATCAACAGAACACACCCCAAAAAAGTCCAAGTGCCGTGCCGGGCCGTGGGCCGCCGTCGGCCTTGTGGATCAGCACGTCGAAGGTGAGCTTCGAATTCCTCTTCAATGCAAACCTGGAGGAACGGCGACGAACGGTTCCCACCGGTCAGCTGTGTCGTCTGAGCTCATTATGCCAGGTGTGCTGAACGCCTGTTCTGCCGACGTTTTTGCCAGCTGACTTGATGGGCAATGGAATGTCACTTCAGTCGGTCACGTCTTCAAATGGTTTGCCTTGGGTTGGGCAGGCTGAGGCTCAAGGCTCAATGACCTTCTTAGCCCGAGAGACACTTGTGGCATAGGACTCATCTTGCGCCTTGGTGCCACAGCGGTCAAGGACAAGGGTCATTGCCACCTAAGCTATTTCAGCCATGTCAAGGGCCTTGACGAAATCAAAAAGATCAGCTATGTCAGAACCATGACTTGAACTTTGGAAGATGAGTTCTGCCACCACGAATGGGTCTAGAGAATAAGGCTATTTCACACTCAAGGGGACACGTCACTGATGGGTTTTTGGTCCAGCACCATCGTTGACTAAGGCAGGCATGCCTCTCTGTTTTTAGACACATTCATGGCTCTTCAGAAAGCGGCGTGAACCTGCAACTATGCAAGAAGCAAACTCACAGATCTCAATCTCACGTTTTCCTTTTTTTGACTATGGTAGCCATTGGCTACTACTCGCAGTGTTGCTATTACCTAACCAGCCACCCAAATCGATGCCTTCAGGTGTGCTGACGATGCATTACAGTATACGGTATATTGGTTTTGAGTTGAATCTCAAAGTCTGACTTGCACTGATTACGCCAGGGGCTGTGCTATCCCATGTTGCCCCACTTCCCTCCAAACCCAGCAACCTCCCTGACATCCAACATTGAGCTGCAAAATGGTGCTCTAAACTTCAACCATCCCTACTTTCAGCCCACTCTCCACCTCTTCTTGAGACACTGGCATCAATGACAAGCACGACAACACAGTCTCCACCTGGCTTCAGGGTTCAGAGTCAATGAAGTCGCACCCCATGAAGGGCACACAGTGGTGGTGCCGGACTCGTGTCTTTGACCAAGAAACAGACTTATGCGCTTTTTGAAAACTCAAACATGCTTTCAGTTCTGACTCCCGATGCTCTATGGTCTTTGACTCACAAGCAAAGAAAACAGCCGCCAAGGAGCCGCCAAAGACAGTGGCGTCATTCTGATGCAAGCTCAGATTCTCGTCGCAAAGGATGGCCCCAGGAAAATCCACCAGCTGGCGCATGGTTCGAAGATCAATCAGTGGGACATTGGACCGTAAAGAATGTGATTCTCTGTCTGTGAAATGCTAGAAGTTGAGTCATCCTGTCTGGCATTGGTGTCGAGCATCATACTGGGCTGCCTGTACTTCATACAAGCTTGATAAAATCTTTCCTCTGGTGGTTGGACGCCAAATGACAAATGCAAGCACACTCATGAAACTCCAAAAACTGACATTCGCGATTTGCCTCTTGTCCCGAAGAATGGGAAAGGACACAAAGTATTTGCTGTCTTTTGACCAGAAAATCCAGAACACACGTTTCGCTTACTACATTGAACACACACAAAAACATGCTGCTGGCATCCCCTGAGGTCTGGCACCCTTAGCCGGAGGAGGTGGTTGTGGCAAACTGAGAAAGTCTCCATCCTCAGCAATTTTCAACTGCAAACCGCTGTTCAATGAAGTGGCCGTCTGTTCAATGTCTCGGCTAAGATGAATCATGCGCACACGTGACCAATCTGCAAGTGGGACGCGTGGGACGTGTGCTGAGGTCATCTCAGAAAATGTCGGTGTTGCGCAGCTGCTTTGTGCTCCAATGTATCCACATGGGCAAACCGTTCGACGAACTGAGAACTAGATAACTAGATGTATCCACCAGTGCGTGCCGCTGATCAGACTCTGAGTGCCGCACTTTGTAAGCCCACCTTCGAGGAACATGGACTCATGGGGAGATAGCTTCTGGAACCTCAGCAGCTTTTTTGCACAAACTGAAGCAACATAAGAAAAGGCTGGTTTAAGGTAGCAACATGATGCACCCCGGTTTAAGGCAAAGCAAAGCCACTGTAAAGGAAATCTCATTGTTTGCATGTCCTTCTACATCAGGCACGACATGTCTTAGGGAATGTCTGAATTCAAACATCTGTCTGACACAATCGCTGAGTGCCCAGCACTACCTTACTAATGGACCTGGGAAGGATTTGAGACTGTTGCGCAGGTGACATTAACAGCTCTACCAGAGCCAGGGATTCATAAGAGGAAGAAATGATCATTCGTTCCTTTTGAACCAGCCATGTATGAATCTTGCTCAAATCTGTTTGCCACATTCACATCAAACATTCTTGGTCATCTTGACGCCGACTCTTCTCAAATATGTCTGCTTCAGCCCTTTCTCTCACAACCCCCCCTCTTGAAGTTAAACAAAGAATAACAAAGAATGGGATAAAGCAGCATAACAACCACTTTTCAGCGACAATATCAGCACCTAGCTTTGTACCAAATCAAAAAAGATCAATCTTTGCTTTGCCACAACAGTCAGCTTGTGGGCCCAAGGTTTGCTGGAGCCTTCGCAAGCATTCATCAAAGCTTAGGCCAGGACGTTTTGCCACATCGCGGCAGTCCGCACATCACAACCTGTGCAAGGCGTTTCGGGCTCCGCTAGATGTGAGGAAAATGTGGGTTTTGTTGTGGGACAACTGCCCAGGTGCTGCACTGCTGCACCTTTTCCTTCAAAGGTTGGGAGGTTGCACATCCCATATCCCAAAAGCAGGAGAAGGTGTTTCTCTGAAGCAGGAGAACGGCAACTCCAGCCGTTTTGATTAGAGAAAGTAAGGCGTGTCGGGTAGAGATTAACAATCAAGCCCAAATTGGTTGGCAGACTTGTTTGGAACTATCGTAACTAAATGATGCGAGCTGGCGACACATTTCTGCACAATTCCACCAACCATAGAAGTAGGCCCTGAAGAGACTCTTCAATGAAGTGGTCTTCCCAACGGCCACAGCACAACAGGTTTGCGACAGCTCTTAATATTCTCAATCAAAGGCGGTGCAAGCCTTCGGGATATCCTCCATGACACCTGAGACCAGCTGAGAAAGGTGGCCGCTCTGATGCTTTTCTCTCTCGTTGTGAGAATCTCGGCAGCAAAGCTCTTGACATGGCAAATTCAAGAATCCCAGGATTCTTTGAACATCGTCTCCAAACTCCAGTTGCTTTGCTCCGTTCGGTCACTAAACATCACTAAACAACTTAACGTGATTTTCGAGTGGTCACACACATCTTGAACGAGCCTTGGCTGTCGCGCACACGCCACCGACGGGCGTAGCGCTGATGAGCCAAAAGCATCGAAAAGGCATCGGGGCCCAAGCTCCAAAAGCATGCTTCGAAGTTCAATCGGTAGCTCGGACCTATCAAATCTGTCTGGATTTGTTGGATGATGTTGAATGAGTGTGTCTCCTATGGAAGCTTTTTGCAAGTTGAGGAAAGGCCTTTGGAAAAACCGTTCTTGACTCAATCAGAGCACCTCCTGTTTTACAGAAACCTGATTTACATATGTGCATATAGAGAATGGCTACATGTGCAGTGTCCTCAGTTCAACGTTGCGAATCCAAGACAGCTTTAAGCTGCACAGGTCTACCCGGCCCCCTTCAACCCCGTCCGACCTGTCCTTCACAAAGCTTTGCATAAGCTTCTAGCCATTGAGGCAAAGTATGTTCCACACCCTGCTGAGCCTCAGGTCGATGGAAGCGGTCCCGGTATTCTTCACACTCTGGTTGTTAAGAACTTGTTCTTGCTTCTTAGCCGAGAAAGCATTGAACTCGACATCTGCATCACGGTATCTAAACAACACAAAGAATACGATTGCCATGCAAGAGGATCTAGCATTAGCATGCAAACAAGAGCGCATCGAGGTCCCTTCTAAAAAGCGGAGCAACAACTGATGCCTCAGTATGCTGGCTGGTCATGACAGCCGTCACACCTCGGGCTGGGGACAACATTTCGACTTATCTTACTAGCTCACACACGTGGAAGTCTGCATACTCAGTAGTCAGTAGTCAACACAAACACAAGCATCTTGGAACCTGAAACACCTGAATCCAAAAACACAAGCATCGTACAGTGTGTGCTGTAGCAATGGTGGCAGCTCAAGCTCCTTTGTCCCCTCAAAGAGGCATGTCAACAGGTTGCCTTCAGCTTTGGTGTGACAGGCAGTTCGATCCCTTTTTGGATGCCACACTTTGCAAATGTGCTCGGACCTCGACTCGCAAACAAACTGGCGACTCATGCACCACAATCCACCACAATGAGCAGAAGGTCATTTAGGAGAGAAGTAAGTAGTTGTAGTTGGACAATAAAATTTAGATTCAATTAGATTCAGCTAGGGGCAACGTCTGATTATACACTGGTTTGCTGCCAACTCCATCGTGAGAGCTTCTTGCCCCAATGATACGTGATGCAGTAATAGACCTTCGTATACTCAATTATACTCGCGTCTTGGTCTTTACCCTCTTAGATGGTGAACTAACTCCACTTTGCAAACACGTGAAGCCAGCATCTTCCGACTTCTAGGCTCTCCAAGCACACGTCCGCCGTAGAGCGGGTGTCACCTGATAGCAGTTTTCGCGTCTGTGAATTCGCTCGACTTTGGTTGCGACAGACCTACAGTAACAGTAACTAACCTTGTTGGGTTCGTGTGAGCAGTGATCTTGACACTTGGATGTCTTGGACTCAACAACTCAGGGTTTGACGATTTCAATGATGCGGTGTAGTGTCCTTCGAAGGCCCCATTTGATGGGTGAATCCATAGTTTGACAAGTACACAGGCAGAAACTGGCCTCGGAAGATACAAGCTGCAGCAAGGGAGCCTGTCAAGAAACATTTGTGGAGTCACTCTCGGTGTACAATCCCGTTTCAGATGCTGAGCACAGTTTAATTTGACCAAACTGGGTTGGTGCTTGCCCCAAACGGACACAGAATCTGCATGCAATTCGTTCAATGAAAGTATGAACATCAATGTTATGCACCATTGTATATACACTCACCACCAATGACAACACGGAAAACACAGTTCGGGCCCAAAAGTTGTTCATTCACTCATACTATCCTGCTATCGTAAGAAGATCTTCAACCAGCCAAGGCAACGGACCAATGCCTGTAGCTGACCAAGCGACTTCAGGACCTAGAATCCACATCAGCCGAACTCCCGATGACAGTCAGTTACGAGAGTCACAAACACCAGCGCAAAACCAAAGAAACGTACTGGAAGCTCCCACCGAAAAATGCACTCCCTTTTCTGCTTGTCCACTGAAGGCAATTTGCCTATAATATATATATATATAATATATACTATAAGGACCTCTGAGGAGAATTAAGTGTTATAAGCCTAAAGTAATCACATCGAGCTAACATTTCTCCATGCCTCCTCTCCCGAAATGCAACTTGGCACTCCGAGCATCTAAGTTGCCTTCTTCAAGAAGGGCTATTATACCTCGCTCTGAATCGAAAGGTCCACAAGCCAATTGTCCCCAGGTGAACAGGAATCACACCTACCAAATACAGTATCTCAAGGCGAACAGTCAACTTAGTCAACTTCAACACAATTGTTCACAGGGCATTGTCAGAGAGGTGCACTTGGGAATAAACGCACCAGCCAAACGAACCCAGCTGTTAGTTAGCATGGTAAGCTTGTCTTTCAATTCAAGAGATGAACACAAAACATGACAAAAACAACACTTGGAAGGTTGCTTGCGCTCGTTAGAAGACCTTGAGCGCATGGCATTCCACACAGGTGTTCGCCTGCATTGACAGAAAGCAGGCGAACGCGCCAGCGCCCTTTCGCCCTATGGCACATGTGCACAACATGAGTTTGTTTACCGTTGATGCTTTTACCGCAACATGAATATTCACCATCATGGCAAGACAGCACCAACGATGGTGACCACGGACGACCACGGAACGGATTCAGCGTGTTGCTTTCGCACCTCAGCATCGCCCGACTTCAGCGACAAACCCTGGGAAAGACGCAGATCCAAGTCCTCAGCCAAGGGGCCAAGGTGGGCCGGAGAAATGCATGCTTCCTTTTTGGAAAATCCTAAGGACTCAAGATTCAGTCATATTGTCATCTTTATATACTGTAATCATTATTAAGGTTGCTGTTGCTCTCTGCTTTGGACTACAATGTCGCTTCCCGGCCACAACCACAGCAGGAGAAGCAAGCTCCGGGCTGGCCAAGCACCAGCAGATCTCACATTGGCAATGCAAATGAGCAAAAGACCTGCGCAGCTACGCTCAGAGACAACAACCATCAAACAGGGAAGTGCAACAGGGTGGAATACACTGATATTGTGCTAATCATTTTCCCGTACAAGTATTTTGGGAGAGCCACTGCCTTGGGGGGGCAATTGAGCAAAGCATAGCAAAGCAATATACCTTTTTGTCAAAGTCGGACATCATGGTGATTGCTGTACCCATCTGAAACATCCGAAAGCACAATTGCAAATTGATGTGGTTAACGGCAGCTAACCCCACAAACACCTTCAAACGTTGTAGCGCTTTCGGCCCTCAGAATGCACCTTCTATGCTAGCTTGGCCAAGACCACGCAGCAGTGCCTAGGTGCAAATTTCAAGCTTGACTTGGACACTCTGCATCTGGACATTAAGAACTAAACACTTCCAAATGAGTGGCAGGGTGAGATTGCTTGGCGCCAACTTTGTTCAAGTCTTCAAAACACAAGACGTACAGTAAAACATCATGTCCATTGTTTAGGTCTTTCTGTGTGGGTTCCTTTCTTCAAGGGAACATGATACACAAATATACACCTGAAAAACACACACGACACACGCAGAGTGGGGGACTCGGCTGGCCTCGCGACACGCAGATTGGTCGGCCGCTGCCAGCTGAGACCAGTTCTTCTGCGTGATTTGACGCCTGAGATCGGGGGAGGAATGGAAGAAAACCATGGGAAATTGCCAGGTGCTCATGGGAAACTTTCAGGGCCTGAACAGCCTAAGGTGACCGTGCCAAGCTGTGGCCCTCATCCCTCCACATCTGACGAACTTGAAGCGCAGGGTTGCAACCATTGAGGGCCCATTGCATGCGGTGCATCTGGCATACTGAGGACGACACACTATTGTCATGGCCAGCTGTCTCAAAGGGAGTGCCTCCTGCCGCGTCACCAGCACTGACAAGTAACACATCCCTTTATATAATCATAGTTTATATCTGCTCTCCCTAGGCCCAGCCTAGTTTTCCTCTATGGGTGTGAGCACTAGGGGCAAGTCCATACTGGATATCCAACACCACTCAGAGTTCCTTGTCCTTGGAACAGCTTTTTCACAGCCAGTTTTGGGTCCTTCCACGCAGAAAACACATCACCTGGTCATCCAGGCACGACGCTATCAGTCATCAGCATTTGAGCAACACGACCCCTGTCGGATGGTTCTCTATTTTCAGGGCTGGATGGGGAGTCCAATCCTGGCTGCTCGGCCCACACGCACCAAAGGCGCTACACCTGCCAGCTGTTGTCGAAAAGAATTGTGTATAATTCATAATAAAGTATATGTATATATTATAAGAGAGAGAGAGAGATCTTGTATGATTTTGTCAGAGTCCCCTCCCTGAGCCACCTCGACATGTCCAGGAGCCTAAATGGAAGAGTATTAGACCTAGCTCTGTATATATATATATATATGACACTCCACCATCTAAAACCCCCTCTACCTTTTCGCTCGATCACATCTAGCCTCATCTACATTTGTGTGCAACTGGCAAGCATGACTCCATCAGCTAGTACATGTGTGCCTATGTCTACGAGAAGGTGTTTAGGTTCGCTGCGTTATCGTTGCAGTTGCCGCTTTGTTATATATGTATATAAATCGATAAGGCAGCACAACACTCCTCGTGGTCTTTGTGGGAGAGACAAACCCGAGATGAGACGCATGTGAAGGGTTATCGCTTCGACCCTTATCGTTTTGCAGTGGGTAGGGCATCCTTGTGGCAAATTGGACATGCACAAATGACATTCTTGGGTGGGGGGGTTGCATAGTCTCTCACGAAGCATCGGAAAGATGTGATAAAAGGTGGGACTGATTCTAGTAGTAACAAGTGCCTTACTAGTAGTAACAGGTGCCTTACTAGTAGTAACAAGAAGCTACTTAATTTAACTTAAATATAATTCTAATAGCTTTTTTGTTACTACTAGTAAGGCACTTGTTACTACTAGCGTGGCACTTGTTACTAGTAACAGATCTGATTCTACCCTTTCGAACTTGCACTGCTCTTGCTAGCCACATCAACAGCTTCAGGGCCCACGAAGCATGCCTTGCTGCAAAACCTGCAGAGCATTTGGCACCTGCAAGCTAGGAGCAAGAAGCTACTAGTAACAAGTGCATCGCTACTAGTAACAGGTGCCTTACTAGTAGTAACAAAGATACTGTACTGCACAGTAGGCCACGGGGGGCCATGATTGAATCTGAAGCCACAGAAGCAGCAAACGACAGTCCAAACGCCCTCAACAAACATCGATCTTGTTATCACTACATACATATGAACAAATGATGACAACTCATTGGTTGAGGGGAACCCCAGATCTTGGGACATACCCTTTGATGGTCTCTGCCTTGGCCTGTGCCTGTTCTTTAGAGTTGACTTTATTGAGCAACTTAACCGACTCAAAATACATCTGGTACTGATAAAACAACGAAATCCCTGCATTCTTGCTTTGTGTCTGCCTGTCTGTCTTTCTTTCGTTCGTTCTTTCTTTGTTGTTGTTTCTCTCTCTCTCTCTCTCGTTCTCGCCTTCCAAGGCTTGCTCTGCCTGTTGGCGTTCAGACCTCTGTCCAAGGACAATGATGTCTCAAAGATTAAAGGTCTCTAGTAGTAACAAGTGCATCGCTACTAGTAACAACTGGCATTACTACTAGTAGTAATGCACTTGTTACTATTAGCGTCCTTGCTACTAGTAGCGATGCACCTTGTTACTAGCAGCTTCTTGATGCTGTAAATCTAGTAATGCCCTTAGCCAAAAAAACAAAGAACAACGAGTTTGTCGACGATTGAGGGCCAAAGATCAATGACCGCCGCAGTGACGTAGTGACGTCTCATATCTCAAGGCCCTTATTTTGTGGAATCTCGCAGAATTGTTTGCCCTCTAAGGCCAACAGGCCAATAGATCCTTTCGGCCAGGTCGGTGAACCCGAAAGGACCCCCGCCACAAGTGCTGTTCCCTCCCTTTATGCTGGGCATTGCAATGAATGTGCAAATAGGATGCAAAAAGAGATGGAAACAAAGTGTCAAAACGTGGCTATAGTTTCTCACTGCTGCCAGGCCTTTCTGCCGAGTTCAATGAAAGTAGCAATCGGCAAAGCCTAAGCGTGGATGGGAGAAGAAGAGGAATACACTGAATACACACCAATTTTTCAGCCGGCAAGCGATTGCTCTGATAAATGACATTCATTGTGTAACTGTGTTTAACTTGCACTGGGCGACTGCTTTTCGGCATTCAGCAAGCGTTGTTGCCTCTCTACTCATTGCCAAGCTGCAAGTATTGTTTGTTTGTGCGATGATGTTTGGTAAGGTGGAACCCTACAACTTAAGGACACACGCTTCAATTTGGAGTGTGGATCCTCCAATTTCTGTTGATTCGCCCACCTCCTGGAGTTACAAAGGGAGTGCTCCTGGGTGTTCAAGGTCACACCGCGAGGTCAGGGGCGCCATTTGCTGACTACCACCACACAGTCACGCACCGACCACTGCTGCTCCAAGCGAAAACTCCATTAAGGCGTCAGCTCTTGATCATGCCATTCAGCCATTGGAGTGCTTCACTGCTGCACACACGACGCGGCGGCAAGTTGCCCACGCTCAATATTATTGGATCGGATGATTCGTGTGTCATTCAAAGCGCTTTGCCTTCGAGAGCCTCCAACAAGGTGAGGCAGGACATCCGAAGTGAAACTCTTGGGCTGAGGACATCCAAAGCTAACAGTCATTAACACAAAAGTGTCTTGGAAAGCGCTGGGTGGGGTGGGAATCAGAAAGAAGGCACTCGACTCGACATTCGAAAGCACTTTTCAGGTCATTCCAAATGAGGCTTGGCAGTTGGCTTCAAGTCCCTTAGACTTGAGCCGAAACGATAGGGAGGACCACCAAACGCATTTGAACATCCAACAAACACAAAAGCCTTGGTAGGGTATGTTAGGCACTTGCAGATCAAGAATTGTGAGGGCTTGGAGGCCTGGAGGCCATTGCTATTAGGTTGCAGGCCATCGCTATTAGATGCCATTAGGTTGGAGGCCATTGCTATTATATGTTGGAGTATTGTCTTCTTTTACTGATGCTACTCCTGAGCTCTCAGCACTTTTCAAAGGCGTCCAACTCTTGACTTGAGTCCAAACATGCCAGCTCACCTGACTCAGCAGGTAGCCGGCCAAGCAAACGGGCCACACTGGCGAGACTAACAGCACAAAGGCTTGTAGTCCCGCCGTGGGCAAAGCTGGCATTTGTTTCACCTTGTCTCAAGCTGCTCTCTCGTTCTCACGGATGAAGGGTCCCGGTGTTGGTGAGCTTGTTGATCGGTAGAGACAAAGCCACATGGCCATTGGCATCGGGCTCGGGGAAGCGACCTGCCCGAATATTCACCTGGACCGAAGGCACAATCAGCTTGGGGATGGCCAGCATGGCATCGCGGCTGTCGCGCATCGAACAGAAGTCGTCTTCGGACGTTCCTGTTCGTCACATGGCAAAAGGTGAAGAAACGCAGAGTTGGCATGCAAACAGATGTAAACCATGTAGGAACATGCTGTCCTATCCTTTTTCTGAGGCACATCAGCACGGAACCGTGCTGAAAAAACTTCTAGCTGAAAGAATTCGAAACACCTGACCCATGGGTACCCATGGCAGGCAGTTGTGCTGAGAGTCCGCCACCGATGTGGATGTTGTTGCGTCTCTCCTCCCCAATGGTTGTCTCCCAAGCGAATTCGCTCCGGCCATCCTTTGGGAGATAGTCGTGGCCCACAAAGACTCGGGTCTCATCTGGAAGTGACATGATCCTAGATGGTCTCAGCAGGGAACCAAAAAGCAAGTTGTTTTCTTTCTTTTTTAGCCCGTGGCCCTGCCTTCTTACTTACTTAAGTAGGCGCATACTTCATTAAGGAATATATAAGCTAGCCAGTTAGCCTTCTATGCGGCCTTATAACATGTAACACAAACAAACATGCAAATACCCGATTCCTCTGGATGGATTGGTACAGCATTTTCGACGACCCTCCCGGGAAGTCACACCGTGCAGTGCCGTAGTCAGGCATGAACAAGGTGTCGCCAGTGAAGAGTGCATCACCAATCAAATAGCCTTAGTATGAAGTTGACAAAAACAAACCAAGGCACCATCAATCTGCTAAGAAGCTCTTGCAATCTGCAAAGGAGCTGTCCAAAGCGGTTGATACAGGAAAGTGTCCGAATGCAAAGGGGAAGGTTGATTGTGAAAACACATCGTGAGGCCATGCGTGAAACTACAAAAAACATCAAGAAACATCCAACACGCTGAAACGAGTCTTCAAGTGTCCTAACATGCAGTGAGGAAGACATCAGAAAAGGTATATATCCTCAAAGCAAATTGGAGAAACACACACATGCCGGAGTATGTCCAGGTGTGTAAATGACACTCGCACGCATGGCACCAAGCTGGAAGGTTTCTCCATCAGCAAAAAGCTTGTCGAATTGAGAGCCATCCTTCTGAAAGCCTGGGCCCAAGTTGAAGACCCCTGCAAAGACTTCCTGAACGAGCTTGATATTTTCGCCAATGGCAATCTTGCCACCAAGCTTTCCCTGGATGTACGGGGCACCGGACAGGTGATCAGCATGGGCGTGAGTCTCCAAAATCCATTCCACTTCAAAGTTATTTTGCTGAATGAAATCCTGAGCAACGAGATCAACTCATGAGGTCAAAACCACTTGGACAAGTTGATGGATAGACGGATAACACAATTTGTACAAACAATATTTAGATAGATCGGTAGATCGTTTATGATAATGATAAATACATAGAAGGGACAAACAAAAACTTGGGATAACTCGCAGCCCACAACCATCTTCAATTTTGGTGTCATTATTACAGTTTCTCAAGCTCTGACTCTGTGTTCAAATGACTATGCCACAAAAAGTTATACATCAAAGGCAAACTAGAAGCAAACTCGGGTAACTCAGGAAAACTTCTAGGCTGGCAAGGCGAAGAGTCAATCACCTGGTCAGCATGCTGAGTGCTGGTGTTTCCGGATGGAAAGTCAAAGCCCATCACCGAGTCAACCACTGCTACCTCAGCTTCAGTCCAAAGGCAACTGTGAGACTTTTCTACTTCACGGGGCTGGTGAAACACGCGGCATTGCAAGGCTTGCGTGAAAACACCCAGCTTGCTCGAGCTGTGCAGCTTAGTTTGGTCCGCCTCACATTGGCAATGCTAACTGCCTTTCAAAAGCCCTTCTAGCACATGTTTGGACAGCTTTGTGCGATAACCACCCCCAATTGGTTTGGTCCACCTCTCTTGGGATCACTTTTTTGCAATACCAGCTGCCTTTCTTCCCTCATCTCGCTGCCAATTATCTTTCGAACCACCTGTTGCTCCTGTTGGATCATTCCTTTGGCCATTTGCTCATTCAATGAAACTAATCGGGTCGAACATTGTCCAAATTGGTGAATATGTAATAATATGTGCAGCAATTGCCTCTTGGCCTAGCCACACATCTCCCAAAATCACCCGGAATCCCACAACTACTCTCAGAAAACCCTTTATATATAAAGATACATATCTATTTATGCAATTCTGTATTGTTTAAACCCGACCCCAATACTTGTTCAAGCTCCCAAACGGGGTCCCCCACCATGCATCGATTCACAACTCCCCCCAATTAGTTTGGTCTCCTGATGACGAGATTTAGTCTTGGGAGACCTACCCCTCAAATAAGAAACCTATAAACACCTTCCAAACGGGCTATTAATCAGACCCTTTACATTATTTTGCATCTGCCACATTGTGGCTTGATTGGAGTAGAAAAGCACCAAAGGATCTAAACCGGCACATAGCTGAGCTACTTTGTAGCTGCCGGGATCTCTCACGACGGAGCATACGGTGTGCGTTTCCGGCTCGTAGAAGACGGTCACCTCTGGCTTGTGGATGTGACACATCTCCGCCGCCTCCTTGACACACATGTCCTCAGTCGGCAAAGGGTGCGCGAGGTGATGGCTTTTGGCGCAGTGAAAATCGTTCGTCGAAGTGTAAGGATCCGTTGTCAGATTTGGTCGAGCTGGAACAAAAGATGCGAACAACATGTGGAGGATCACAGCATACGACGTGTACAGTGACATTGTGAAGGCACCGACAGAATCCCCGACATAGATGACTACATTGCATGAATGTTACATGAATGTTAGACGGTGTGGATCGGTGTGGAGTGGTGGGTGTTCAAGGCTTCAAGAATCTTCGATGATTTAAGACTTGGTCCGCAATATATGCATATGGGTCCTATACTTGGATTGTGTTCTCAGGGTCACTCATTCGTCTCACTAAGGATCACTAAGGTATGTTTCACCACACCGAATTGGCTCAAGGTTCAGGAAAAGGCTTGCGCCTTGGCATATCGGATCACTCGATCGATCGTTGTTGAAACCTTCCGGTTCACATACGTGCACACACACTTTTTGTTGTTTCGGATTCGACTTCCGTCTTTTCCGTCTCTCTACCAGATTCCAAATCCTATAACCCAGTACAGCTGTGCCATCCTGTGCCATCCTGTGCCATCCTGTGCCTCCGAGCCACAGCCATTGCGTGTTGAGCAGTGCTGAAAGGGGATGTTGGGAAACGGGACGATGCTTCAAGCCACAACTGTGAACGTGAACAAGAGCCATTTGCTTTGCATGCACGTGGGTCGAATTCAAGTTTCAAGCAGGTGGAAGTCGAAGGTGTTGGAGAGATCTGCAACGTGATGAGTTGACGGTTTCTGGATGATCTAGGCTGCGACCAGACTTTAATCTGGCATCATATGGCTAACCCAACATTAAGAAGCTACCAGTAGCTCCTGGCATCGCCATTAGGAGCAAGGACGCTACGAACGTAGCTCCTGGCGTTACTACTAATAACAAGGACGCTACTAAGTAGGTTTGCTAACCCAACATTAAGAACGCCAAGCCGTGGCGAAGCCGTGGCCCTCGGACTTCACTCTTCGACACCCCTTCGACACCCTTGCGTCGAGCGTGAAACTCTTGTTCGGCGCTGCTCATCGCCTGTGCTGTCCACTATATGTTGTATATACAACGGCTCCAGGTCCTGTGACAAAATCTGGGATCTTTTTCTTCCCATTCTCATGCCTTCCTCAATGATTTTCCAGCTGGGGAAGGGCTAGTGATCTACTCATGGGGTCTTGGTCCATCCCACTCCTGGTTCTTTGGTAGTCAGGCCAGGAGCTACTAGTAGCGTCCTTGCTCCTAGTAGTACGGCCAGGAGCCTCTAGAAGCTTCTTGTTCCTAGTAGCGATCCCAGGAGCCCCTAGAAGCGTCCTGGTTCTATACTCATTATATAGGAAGATGTGGACAATGGGGTTCCATCTCCATGTCTGCCACACACCTCTTCTCCTTGTTGATTAACTTGCTGAAGGGTCAAACAGCAAAGCAAAGGTATGGATCAGAAGGATTCTCATGTCCCTACACTCGCCATATCCACTGCTCCACTCATTCCACTCAACCTGAGATAGAGATCAGTAGTCTTACCAAAGGACCTCGGAGATGAGTCGACACCTTTTGAGTCGACTCAACCAGGCAACTGTCAAAGGTACCAACGACCCTAGGTGTTGCTGTTCCGTTTTTTGGAACCAACCGCACAGCGGAATGAGAGAACTTCGAGGGATTATGACTGATTGCTCAGCCACTTCTTGCATCACCTAGTGCATTCTGTGCCTTCGTTGCCTGGCAAAGCCGGTTTTATCCATGACCCAAGCACTCTCAAAGCCTCCCGCTATCACAGCCTCTCTCCTTGTAGGATCTTGTAGGCTTATCAGGCCCGAAGTCATGTGAAATCAAAGCCTTATAACTAAGCAACATCTCCAAACCTGAACTGCCACAAGCAAAGCAGGAGGTTTGGCAAACAATGGGTGGAGGCCCTTACAGGAAGAAACGGATTGAAGAGTCACCCATGCCAAGCCTGGAACCACTTTTTGGACTAACACTAAAAAAAAATATATATAATATATATAATAATCTGTTCATGAACTTCTTAACGATCCTAGCCTCTGGATAAAGCAGGTGGGAATGCCTCTGCTGTGCGCATCTGTGCTCTCTGCTCAGCTCATTTCCTTCCTGTTACTTCCTTGACCTGTGCCGAGGAATGGGTGACGTTGCTGGAGGTGCCTCCTGTGTGATCTCATTCATTTCGCCACGAAAATCATCTTCGATTCCGTCATATCCACCCCAAATCCATCGATCCATAGGCAAATGGATGGACTTGTTCGGTCTTTCTCACACGGAAAAGTCTGAACAACTGAACAACATGATCCATGCTACGTTCGTAGCTTCTTGCTAGTAGTAATGCCAGGAGCTACCTACTAGCGTTCTTGTTACTAGTAGCGATGCCGCGATGCCCTTTGTTACTAGTAGCTTAATTGCTGTCTGCCTTTTCAGGGTGCCTTTTGCACCCAGAACCCCCAGGTCATCAGTTGTCACCAAATTGTCACGACCTTTCCCCCGACCACGCGGACGCTTTTTCGTTCAGATCCAGATTCTGTCGTTTCTCTTGTCCTTGTCTGATAGTACCGTCAAAGTTGGGTGGCCAAAGAATGGTGAGCTTCGCACATTGATCAGTTCTGAAGAGAACTGCAGATTTGGAACATGGACCCGAATGGAACAACGTTCGAAATCCATGGAAGCTTTTGAACACCGTCCATGATCGTTTAGGATCGAAGATCCCCAAAATAGAGAATTCCGTTCGACAACAACTCAAACAAACGTGATCAGAACATCAGCAGAACGCCAAACACGCGAGACACGCGAGACGCAACGAGCTGCCCTCATCCTTTCTTCGGACGCTCAAAGCTCAACGGTGTCAAGCATCGCTGGTGTCAAGCGGAAGCAGTCGGAACAGCCCAGGATCAGAGCATGAACCCAGGGTGCGAAATGAAAAAGATCTTCATCCTCAGAGAATAGATTGAATAGATGCAAAAATCAAACCAATTGCTAAAGCGTGCTACTTCACTGTGTTGTTTGGTTTTTCAGAAACTATTTTAGACGTCGCTTGGGCTGCGCCAAAGCTCGGGCACGTGATGGTGCATGGCACGTTGCATGTCGTCTTCGAACAAAGGGCATCGCTGCCGCTACGAACGGAGCGATCGGGCGAAACGAACGGGGCGCTCCTGGCATCGCTACTAACAAGAATCTACTAGAGAAATGCCGACACACACACACACACTCTTTATCGTGCCAAGATTCTGCTCGCCGTTGGTACTCATCTATGGTCCAATACTCAAGGGTGTCCACCTTCCAGGTAAGCAGAAGCAGAATGTGTAATTAAACATGCAACCATGGGCCATGGGTCTTCTATTCTGAATCATGATGTTCCATCCAAATCAAACTGACATTGATACAGCTTGAACAGCCCAAGCATTGTGTCCTCATCCGCTCTTTGTTTTCCTTTCTATTTCCCTCTCCCTCTCTTCTCATTTTTTCCACACAACACGCCAAAGCTGTGAGCCAACATAGTTCAACATTGATCAACGTTTTCCCAGAGATTTGGCCTCCAAATCTTATCCAAACTCAATCCATCCCATGTTCAGTGTCCAGTCCTGTTGGGCCACTTTCTGGCATAAAACTCATGGCTTAGCTCCGTGGGGTTCTCAGCCTCAACTATGAAGTCAACCGCCTCAGCACCGCGAAACGTGCCTCAGCATCACGCTCGCCAAAGTCCACCTTCTCATCGGACATCATCGCTCGATACAGAACATTGTGATCCGCCTGACATACCTCTGCAGGATCAGCTTTCGGAGACCAAGACAGACAGGTCTTGGAGTGACAGAGTGACCGGTCACTGGGTCGAAGACCAGAGCGAGTCCCTGGTGTAACTCTGGGGTCCCAAGGATCTCTCCGAAAGAACACCGCAGCAAGTGGCCGATGTTGAGACAGGGGATTCATCAATTCCTCAACCGGAAAACCAGCTGCAACATGCTTTGCCTACTAAAGCGACTAAAGCCGGTTGACCTCTCTTCCTTTAATTGCGGGGTCCAAGCAAAAATGGCTTGGACATCGGTTTTACTCACGATTGAGTCCGACAAGCAAGTTGAGACACAATGAGACACGTCTAAGAACCTATATATAGCCTTGAACCAAGTTGGAGCAGGTGAGCCTGGTGAATATGCTCCACGTATTGGGAAACTTCATTCTTCATGGCGGGGTGAGGCGGTGTTCGTCCTCACAATGTGGCCCGAAAAGGGCGGGAAAGACTAGATGAACGTTGGAACGGTTCTGTTAATACTATGTGTGTGTGCCTTTATAACATGGCACGGTCTATCTTTTAAAGCTCAACCATGCAGTATACCGCAACGGTGGGTCGACCCGTTAGTCAATTTCCTCGGTGTCGTTGTTCTACCCCTTTTGGTCCACAGCCTGCATGTGTGGAGTTGATCCGCTCCAACCTGGCGTTCACGCAGGACACTATTTTCGGAATGATTGCTGAAATGTCAAGACTAGAACGTCATAGACATTTAGAAGTAAGCTTTATAAAGTAATAATCCTCAGGAATTATGCCTCCTGAAACATGCTTTCATACTGACTGGTTTTTCCTTCTGGCGGGCACGGGAAGGGTTATGACAGGTGTCAATCACTGCTCAGGCTCTGGACCGAATTGGCTTTGGGCTGCAATGAAGGAAGGCTACATTGAGCCTGTCAAAGCTCCCAATGTACCCAAATCCACTTGGTATTTGCAAGGCCCAGCCTATCCCTAACGAACCTCGCTTTGCGAGCCATTGCTCAAACTCTTGCCCCCAAACTAGCCTGTACTAATGCGACAGCACTCGTGGAGGTGGAGCTGAGCGTTTTGTCCAAGCTCCTGCGCTGCAAGACCAGGACTGAGGAATCAAACAAACCAGGTTGTTTGATTCATGTCAAGCCACTATATAATCTATATACAGTATATTATGTAAGTTACA